AAGCTGGAAAAAAGGAAGAGCTGCTTATCCGGAGATATTCACACACTGGGCTTCTTGACCCTCGGCCTCGCTGACCTGGGACAGGATGGGGTTTGAGCTGGTTTGTGGGAGTTGGGTCCCACTTGGTTGATTAAAGAGAGACAAAATTCTGGAAGCTGCTGCGAGGAAAGAAACGAAACTAGGGCGCTGCCGAGATCTCTGGATCTATAACTCCCTGTTTCCCTTGCCGATGCCTGGCTCCTCTCTCGGTTCACAAATCCTGATCCTGTGCCTCCCTCCCACCCAGGAGCAGCCTCCCTGCAGAACCGTGGCCGTGAGCTGGCGGCGACTGCGGCAGCCACTTCAGAGTGCGGCTGTCCTCCTGGTGCTGACCCGTGGCTTCAGGGCCGCCCGGCCAGATGGGCACCACCTGTGCTGCACCTTCCTGGCTCCCGGCCTGCTTCCTGCAGCTGCCTGTGGTTAGCACACGCCCTGCGCTCCGAGCCAGCCTCACAGCCGCCTCTTTTCAGGAACACTTAGGGGTACCCATGTGTGCGTGGCATTTAACAGAGTTAGATGAGCAGGCCAGGCTGTGGCACAGCTGGCGGCTGTTCCTTGAGAACAGTTCATGAGGAAGAAGATACAAGAGTTTAGACCCTAAAAGCACATCAGCCATCGCGGAACCCAAGCCCTCCTTTTGCAGATGGTAAAATGAAAGCGGCCACTTCGAATAGGCCAGCTGCGGAGCTCAGGCTGGGCATGTGATGCCCGTGGCTCCCGGTGTACTTTCTGTAGGAGAGGCTCACTCTCCTGGAGGGCTTTCAAACCAAGATGGAAATTCTTTGTTTGATCCTGTGGTAATGGCGAGGCACAAAAGAACTCCAGAGGCTTTGGAGTTTTTGGTTTACTTTTGAGACAGAGTCAGCTTGTGTTTCAAGCTGGCCTTGAACTTACTGTGTGGCTCAGGCTGGCCTTGAACTCAACAGTCACCCTGCCTCAGCCTCCTAAATGCTGGGATTATAGGCGTAAGCCACTGGACCTGACTTGCTTTTAATTTTTAAAAAAATTGCGCAGAGTGGCAAGTCAGCACACCTGGGAGTCCAGAGAGGCGCCTATGCCTGTGATCAGGTTAGAGGTGTTTGGGACCAAGAGTGCAAAAATTAGAATGGAAAAAGAAGTTGGAGAGCGGTGTTCCAGTGTTAGGGTCCACATTTGAACGGCAGCATGACATGGCCCAAAGGCAAACACTGTCATTATTGCCAGAGCCCTAAGCAAGACACGAGCCTGTCCTTTGAGACAGGCCTCTGTCCACAATGATGCATGTGATTAAAAATAAATGCTGACGTGGGATCCAGAGGACTTTGCAGCTCTGTGCTTTGGACCAACCGTCGAAGCACGTTCCCAGCACTGCAGAGCACGGTGTGGAGTTTCAGATGCCCACGCTGCAGCTTGCACAGGCATCTGGCGGGACCGCATGAGCTGACCCCAGGGCAGCTCTCCAGGGTAGGAAGAAAGAAGCTGCGTTGGAGTGGGGGGCGGGGAGCCGTGAGGAGGGGCGCCCTGGCTGGGAAAATGCTTTACTGTATACATAATGGACTTCGTTCTACACTGGGGCCGGATTAGAGTGGGCCATCCCATTCCCCTTCCCTCCGTTTTGATCCTGCAGTCTGCTGCAGAGTTATAGATGAAGTGGCGAGGATGGTATCTTGATTGTATCCAGCTGCCTGGAATAAGTCAAGGGCAGAGAGGCCCCACAGGAGAACAGCGCTCGAGGAAGGGTCTGGGGAATCCGAGATCAGGGCACCTCTGATGCCTGGAGCACCGTGCACTCCTGGTGCACCTGGTGTCACCGCAGTGAGTCCCCCTGGAGAGGAGTCTGCTGGGTGACTTGCGCTGACAGAGCCCCTCACTGAAATCTTACAAGTACTTGAGCCTCAAATGGGGCCAGTGATACCAGTAATAAGAAGATCGTGGTGGCTGGAGATTTGTAAAGAAAGGAATGAGAAAAGCACCTGCATGTGTTAGCAGAAGCAACGGCAGTGCTGGGTGCCACCTCCTGGCGCCCACTCCTGTCTTCTGCCATGTGTCCCAGGGGTGTCCCTGTGGGCCTGGACCTTCAGAGTGGCACACCACAGTGAGCCAGGGGCGTGGCACCCACGTACTGGGCACCGTGAGCACGTGGTGCTGATGGAGGAGCCAGCTGCCCGGGCCGAGCCGCCACTCCGGGCTCTATAAAACTGTAATAATATCATATTATTTTAATCTGTTGAAGTACAAACCCTAGAGCCGGGGGAACTCAGCAGCGGCTCACTCGGCTGAGGAAATGTCTGACATGGATTCATTTGTCTGTAGCTACTTGGGCGATGCCTGCGGCCGATTAACTCTGTGGGTTACAACCTGGTGTCTGCGGGCTGAGAGCCCTGATAGGTGAGCCAGGCTCCCGAGGAGGGAAGCTCTGCCCACAGCTCCAGACCACCACACCCGGGGCCCAGGTCTGGCGTCCCCTAAAATCATGCGTGGGGTCACAAGGAGGGCTGGGCAGGGACAGCGCAGTGACCTGCAGGTGTCATGTGCTGCTGCAAACGCGTGTCATCCCTGAGCCGCTGGGCGCCATTGTGATGCTTGGTGCTGATCCGCCCTGCCGCAGGCTCCTTCTCTCTCTGGCTCTGAGCCTTTGTCTGTTTGGCAAGTGTGGGGGGGTGTGGTTCTTTGTTCTTGGGACACGATGGTGAATGGCATGGACTTGCTCTTGTCTGGAGGGAAATAGGTCAAGATAATACAGCACAGATAGCCCATGTGACCACAAAATTGTGAAGCTTTGTTGAAGCAGAGCAAGGGGTGGAAGGGGTGTGATAGGAGAAGGGGTGGAGGCAGCATTTGCCTGTGATAGGAAGGTCCCAGGCTTCTCAAGACAGGTAACATATAAGCAGAGACCTCGCTGATGAGAGGAGACCAGCCTGGTGCAGAGCTAGGAGATCACGTGCAAAGGCACTGGGATCTTGGCATGGTCACAGAGCAGAGAGGCCGCTGGAGTGTGGGAGAGAAGCCAGAGAAGCGCAGAGGTTGGGCCGTGTGACAGCAAAGGAGTCTGCAGACTGCCCTGAGTGTGATGCGAACCCAGCCAGTGTTTTTGTTTTTGTTTTTGAGAGTGGGACATTTCTTTAAGATTTTCAGAGAGATATTACAGGTTGAGTGGTGTCTCCCCACAAGGATTATGTTGAAATCTGGATCTTCAGACCCTTAGGATGTAACTTTTTCAAAATAGGGACTCTTCAGAAATAACCGAATTAAAATGAAGCCATCAACATGAGCCCTAACGCGATGTGATCCGTGTCCGGATAGATAGGGACACCAGGACGCACGGGCAGGCTCATGCTGAGGGAAGTGACTGTGCTGCTTCAGGGTTGGAACGTTACATCTGCAAGCCGGGGAGTGCCACAGATGGACAGAGACTGCCAGGCGCAGGAGCCTGGGCTGACCTTTCCCTGCAGATGGCAATGGGGATGTGGACCTGGTGACACCTGGCCTTGGGCTCTGGTGCCTGAGACAAGCTTCTGTTGTTCTGAGCACCCTCCCGTGGTTGTTTGTTACAGCACACTAGAAAAATAGGAAAGAGGAGGGGGCTGCCAGCAACCTGGCCGTGCTCTGGGGACCGGTGGTGAGGTGACCCCCAGGACCCAGCAGCCATGCTCTGCAACGTGACCCTGGAGATTTGTTCCCATAGGTGACTGCTCAGGCAGAAATAACTGTGGGTAGAAACAGGGAGAGCCCGCTGGTTGGACCCGCCTGTGCAGAATACTCAGTATGCTTTAGGAATAATCCTTAAAGAAGAGGCCGTGCACTGGGGGTCGGAAAGACAGAGGTGGCAGCCAAGACACCATTGAGGGCTGAATGCTGGATGCTGAATCAGTTGGTGGCAGAGATGGTAAGAAGTGGGCACAAGCAGAGCCAGCAGGACACAGTGGACAGAGAGCGAGGACAGGCGGGGACAGCAGAGGCCCCAGCAGCCGGCTGCAGACTCCCTAGCATGGAGGCATGGGATGGGGTATCGGGGATAGGGGCTTCTGTGTTGGATACAGTAGGCCAGAGATGCCTGTTCTTTGTCCAGGTGGGGATAGTAAGAGGTTGGCTATCTCAGGAGCATTCAGGGCTGGACGTCCATCAGAGGTTGTCAGCTTACAGATGGCTTCTCAATGATTGAAACTAGATGTGATGCAGAGAGAGAGGGGCTTGGAGAAGTGGAGCGGGTCTAGGCTGGGCCCTTTGCAATACCCACCGCACAAGCCTGGTGGCATCGGGGACTGAGAAGGGACTTAGGGACAGCCAGCAGAAGGTCAGTGCGCAGTCATGTAGGGGCTTCTGCCCCTCCAAAGGTCGATCTCCATTATGCAGAAATCATGGGAAGGTCTGAGCAGGACCTCATCACCCGGAAACTAACCACATTTTGTTTGTCTAAGAGCCATGCCAAACGTAGAAGCCAAGTACTGTCACAGAACACGGAATCAGAAAAAATCCTCTGCAGGGCAGTGTAGGCTTTGACTGGGTTGTAAAAACAAGTGTGTACCCAGGGAAAATAGATACTTTTTTTTTAAATCAGAAGAAATGGATGGGGCTGAGGGGATTGATTAAGTGTCTGCCTGGCAAGTTCGAGGTTGTGCGTTCGATCCCCAGTACCAAAAAAATAAAAAGGAATGGAAACGCCTTGTAAGTGTTCAGAATGAGCAGTTTAATGCACATCAGGGCAGCCGAGTTGCAGGGTTCCACTTATTATTCATGTGCACCTTTGTTAAGAATGAAGCCTGCTTTCTTAATCACTTGCCTAACACGACATGCTATGCCGCCACAGTATTTAAAATTCCCAAGCACATGCAGGAAGTTTTGGAGGAACCCAGACTTGGTGTCTGTCTTCACACGTTGGCAGAGGAGCCATTGGATGGCCTCAGAGGGCTGCTGCTGGTGACCGCACTGTCCCTCCTTGTCATCTGGGCTGGGGCTGACTGTGGCTGTGCTTCGGTCCTCAGGTCTGGCGGGAATTTCCTGATCGGTTGGTGGGCTACCCGGGCCGCCTGCATCTCTGGGACCATGAGATGAATAAGTGGAAATACGAGTCGGAGTGGACTAATGAGGTGTCCATGGTGCTCACGGGAGCAGCTTTTTACCACAAGGTAGGAGGCGCAGCCTGGGCCACACAACCCAGGGGACACAAGTGCCATCAGGCCTGGTTGCTGCTGGGTGCAGAAAGGCCTGCTACTCCGAGGGCTTGGGGAAACCACGCTGTGCAGTACAGCGAGTCCCCGATTTACGAATGGTGGAGCTGTGAACTTTCGCCAGTGTCTCTGTAAGATTCACGGGTGTGGCAACCCGTTTGGGAACCTTCCTATCTCTCAGGAGCTAGTCCTGTTCCCTGTTCTCCCTTCCTTTTCACCAATAAATTTTCCTGCCCTTAAAAAAAAAAAAACAAAAAAGACTCACAGGTGTACTGTGTAAAACTCCCTTTGCCAGATTATGAACAAATCCAATTTACGAACATTCTCCCGAACCAGAACTCCTTTGATTGTTGGGGACTCACTGTATTCCTTTAGAAATAAATGTATTAGTTTTCTCATTAGGAGTGCAATACATGCTTAGAGTGGGAAGTGTGAAAATCCATGTCACTCGTAATCCTGTCACTTAGAGGTAAGCATTACAGTGACACCTCGGTTCACGAACCTAACTTGTTCTACAATTTTGGAAAGACAGCCACATGTGAGTTTGTGTGAGAAAGGTGACTGCAGCCGTGTGTGTCACCCAGTGCTGAGTGTGCAAACAAAATCAAAATTTTGCCCATCGCTTCTCTTTGGGAACAAAATTGTTTGCAAACAAAAGTATTTGTGAGCCTTGGTCCCACTACAGTGTCCACAGGTACTGTTTTTAGCTTTCCTTTTGTTTATTCTTGTATATACAGAGACCATCGTAAATATTCTTACTAGTCACTGTGTTACTCATTTTCTGATAAACAAGTTTCATAAATAAGAACTTCTTGGCATAATTGGCATCCTACCATAAATCCATTCTCCATAAAGCATGTAAAACTGTTTATCATTGGGTATTTAAATTTCTAATTTTTGCTATTTTAGATAATACTTAATATCTACTGCTCAGTGACTAATACCCACTTTCTGTTTATACTCATGATTATTATGGCAGATTCCTGCAAGTAGAATTATATCAAAGGGAACCTACATTTGGGGCTTTTTAAAGAGAGATGATGTGATAATTTCAGTATTATTTGTGCCTGTTTACACTCCCAGCAGCACAATATAAAACTGACCTGCTATACCCTTCCTTGCATAAAATGGTTTAAAAATTAACCTTAGCTATTTGGATAAAAGTGAATCTTATTGTTTTAACTTTTACATGATTACTTGGGAGGTTAAAATTCCTTTTGTGTAATCATTAGCTTTTTGTACTTCTGAGAACCATCACTTTAGGGATTAGAGAACAATCTGTATGCATTTGATTTCAGAATATTCAGTCCACCAATAGAGCGCCCCCTAAGAGTGTGTGGTTGTATCATGAAAGCTGATGTCAGAGGAAGATCTGTTTAACTCTAATGCAATTAATTTAGTTTGGCTATTTTATATCTATTGTATCTTGTTAGCATGACACTGCTATGCTTATATTTTTCAGGGCCAGGGAATAGTTTTTATTGTTAGTAAAACAAATAAGCCCTAATAAGTATAATTCTTTGGATTTATGTGTGCATACTATTGGTTATTGTGTAGGTATGGATTTATTTTTGACCCATTAATTCCTACACTACCTCACACGTGGGCTGTTGTAGTTTCAGAAATGTCTCATTTTTGTTCCCCTCAAGAAAACATGCATTTCCCTGCAGAACAATGCCCATGTCACAGACGCTGGGCCGCTTGACCGACACGCTCGTACTTCCTTTGGGCTTGGTGTTGAGCCAGCCTCTCGATTAGTCTTGCACAAGAAAGCCTGTTCTCATGCCACGGCTGGGTTGTTCCAATGTGTCGGCCAAAAGGAAGTGCTATTTGAGTTTTCTTCTGTCTCCCCTGACAGTATTTTAACTACCTGTACACCTACAAAATGCCTGGGGATATCAAGAACTGGGTGGATGCACACATGAACTGTGAGGACATTGCCATGAACTTCCTGGTAGCTAATGTCACAGGCAAAGCTGTCATCAAGGTAAGAGGCTCTGCCACTCTGTTGCTTGGTTCTCTGATCCTGAAGAATGGAGTTCATTCTTAACAGCTGCAAATGAGAAGTTGAACTGGGTGCACAGATCCTTGTATAATTATACAAGTTAGGGGCTGGGGATTTAGCTCAGCGGCATAAGCACCTGCCTTGCAAGCAGGCAGTCATGAGTTTGATCCCCGTAACGATAAAAAGGAAAAAGACCAAAAAAAAAAAAATTATACAAGTTATAAAGTTCTACAACAAATTGTACAACTCTTGTCATCCTAAACCTTGCTTCAAATGACCAGTTTTCTGAAAGTACCTCTCCCGTGGCATATTAAAAGCTGAGAATACCTAGAGATGTTGTGGGGTGTGGGATAGTCTTTAGTCCTGAAAGATGTCTGTTTATTCTTGAAATTCAGACTTTGCTCCAATAAGACCCCTAGCTGTGGAAAGGCAGGCTCCTCTCCCTTGGGGAGCAGCATCCTGACCTCTTTCCTCCTGGTTAGAATTCCAGGTAGGAAAATGGGCAGTTCCAGCTTTCCCTCAGCATTTGCTCGGGGAGCTTACACTGGAATTGCAGACAAATCCCCACTCTTTCCTCATCAGCAAACCAAGTGACCTGAAAAGAAGGAAAAGCACTGTCTCATGCCAGTCCCTTCTCTGTCCCTCAGTCCTCCAAATGACCCTTTCCCTACTTACCGTCTTCACTAGGTTAGGATAGCAGCCTTCCCCGAGTTCACTAGGAGCTCTAGGAGTTTAAGCTTTGGGAAGGAGGAGAGGAGTCCAAGAGAGAGATCACAGGGTGAAAGAAGATTGCATTCTTTTTCCTAACTGGAGAGAATTGCCGAATAAGCTGGCATCTTTTTTTTTTTTTTTTTTTTTTTTTTTGGTACCTGGGATTGAACTCATGACCTCGTGCTTGCCAGGCAGGTGCTTTGAGCTAAATCCTTGGCCCGTAGCTGGCATCTTCTAGAGCAGGGTGCCGCTCACAGCTTCCACCGTTAGCAGAGAGGCGGAGAAAGCACGTCTGTTGGAACTAAGGTTACGGTGAAAGTTATGGGAAGCTGTATTTCATCGCCCTTATGGCTGCAAGAACAAATGGTGTTTATACAAGGACCTTGGCAGTGAGAAAACAGTCATTAAACAGGAATTAAGGAACTTGTCATCACCACTTCTTTCCAGTTACAGAAGGCAAAAGCCTCCAAGCCTCTTTTATTGGGCCCCTGTGAGTTGCACTGTGGGCTGAGCCAGCCCAAATCAAACAGAAGAGCAGTGAGGTGTGTGTGCGTGCGTGTGTTGGTGTGCTCGCGGCATCTCCGCTCACAGCACGGGAGCATGTGGTGTGGTGGCACAAGCCTGACTTTATAGTCCTTGGCACCGCCCAAGGTCTCTCTGCTCCTCTGGCAGGTGACCCCACGGAAGAAATTCAAGTGTCCAGAGTGTACGGCCATCGATGGGCTTTCGCTGGACCAGACACACATGGTGGAGAGGTGAGTGGGCCTCCACCCAGGCTCTACCCCAGCTTCCGCTCCCCTCTTCCTGCCGCGGCCGGTTTGTGGAACTTTGGTGGACATACAAGGACAACAGCTGGTAGCCCTTAGTCACCTCCTTTTGCACTGTGGGAATGGGGTGGTTAGTTCAAGCCCAGGTCACCCAAAGAATTAATTTGGAATGCTACTCACTCAATTTGCAATGGCTGCAGGGATCTTAAAAATATCACTGGCCGTAAGCTCCAGAAGCCAGATCCTCCTGAGGGACTGAGCAGTTAACTAACTACAGTCACCTCAGTGGAAGCCAGTTCGTTCCAAAGAAATACGGGGTTGTTTTGCAGGCCAGTATTTCCATGTTATAGTAGAAGCTGGATGAGAAAGAACAAAGCCAAACCCTCCCGAGACAAGTTACCTTTACTGATGCTACAAAGACCCCTCCCAGGAACCGAATCAAAGGCAGTTTATTTTTTGGTGGTGGGCAGGCGGGGGGCACTCAGCAATGGTCCTTTTCAGTTCATTTCCTTCAATTACTCAGTAAGCACACTTGGCATGGAGTGTGACCCGGGCCCCGTGAGGGAGTATGAAAGAGCAAAACTGCCACGTCTTTCCCCAAGACCACGAGAATCCTGAACTAGACCTAATCACTCCCACTTGAGTGCCAGGCTCCAAAGTGCCTGACCTGAGCCTAACTGTTCCAAAGGCAGCTCCTTACGGAGACGCAGGCCGTGACAGCCCAGGAGCACTGTTACTCAGGGGCCACAGCGTCCTCTGAGAACCTTACAGTAGCCTAGAAGGAGATGTCAGGACTGTTCATAGCTCTCGTGTACATCTGCTGCAGAATTCACTGCTGAAGTCTCTACACCATAATAAAATCCTTCAGGCCTTGAGGATTTTGTACCCAGAATGTTCTGCTCTTGGCTTTGGACCCTTCTACACCACTGTACTCTTTCCATCTCTCTGTATCTCTTTCATATGGAAGTATCTTATCCCCAAAAATGACTGTTCGCAACTGTTGATACGAAGTAACATTATTGTGGTTTTGGAGTTGCTTGTCATTGGTGATCACGAGTATGGCACAGCTGAAGGGCAGTGACAGGAACAGTCGTAGCTCATTTGGAAGAGACCCGCTGTGGTTCCAGTGGAGTGTGTGCAGTTGGTAGTTAAACCGCCCCCCTGTTCTCTGTCTGGGGAGAATTCAGAGCAGGAAGCCAAGCAGTTACTGGGGTGAACTGAAATGGCGGTAGGAGAGGAAGGGAAGTGAGAAACACGGCCTGGTGGTGGCCTCAGGTTCCTCGGCAGGCACACGACGGTTTCCTAGTCCAGCTGAGATGGTAGCCGATGGCAACAGGCTTAAACAGCAGCGAGCGGCGTTGAGTTAGAGATCATTACTGTGCAGCACCAGGCAGAGGAGCTCAGGAGGTATGGACGCATCTTCCTCTTCGGAAGAGAGCTTTGAAGACAGAGCCGCCCTCGCCGGAAGGCTTGCTTCAGCGTTGTCATACCAACAGATCCCTCAGACCTCATCCAGAGCGAATTCTCGCGAGTGCCCCGAGAGAGGCTCCAAGTGTCACTTTTGTATGTCATGAGAGGAAAGAGAGGAAGCATCTCATCAGGTCCATTATGCAGGATAATCTTGTAAAAGAATGACTTTGCAATCTCGGGATCCCAATGGATGACACTCTGGGCAGACAGGAGGTTCTGGGCTGAAATGCCACATGCTCAGAGGAGCCTGAGCAGCAAGTTCAAGGCTGACTTGGTGGTCACTAGGCAATTCCATCTGGCTGAAACGTAGGATTCTGGCTGGTCAGGCCACACTGCAGAGGGCTTGGAATTCCCAGTTAAGGAGCTTGGACTTTTCCTTCAGGCACTGAGGAGCCCTTGAGGGAGTTTGAACTGGGTTGCTCTGAGATTGGAAGTGGTGCTTGGGATGCAACAGGCAGTGAAGAGACTGGAGGATGACCAGTTTAGAAGATTTGAACTCAGTGGAATGTTGAAAGGAAGCAACGCATTAAATTAAGAGATTTTTACTTTCTCCCAGAGGAAGATGTACCGGAACTTAAGTTTCTGACTTGGATAGGTGTGAGGCGGTTACCAAAAGAAGCCAACAGATATGCCGTCAGTGTTGAGTGAAGGGAGCTGGCAGTGCCCTGGACAGCATAAACCATCTACTGAGGAAGGGAGGGAGGGCAGGGCTTAGGTTACACCAGAGGAGGAGTTGGGCTACCGTGAATAATAAAGAGATTGGAGACAAAGCGGAGGGCAATAGGTGTGTGACACTGAGCTCGCCCTCCACACACAGAGTTCGCGGTGTGAAGCTGAACTTTAGAAAGATGTTTAGAACAAAGGGATATTGAAAGTTGTGTGCTCGGAGTCAACAGTTGACTAAAGAAAAGCCAAGGGCAGAATCTGGATCGCATCTTACATTTAGGAGAGAGAGTAACTGAAAACAGAAGCTGCCCCTGGAAAGGCCAGCAAGCACAGAGTATGTGGAGCCAGGAGCAAGCAGGCACCTTGGGAAAGTAACTCTGACAGCGATGAGGTCGCAGGGTTCTAGAGTAAGGGGTGGCGCTGAGGAAGAGGAGTCGGAGGATGTGAATGCGCCTTTGAGAGGTTTAACAAGGAGCTGAATTAGGAGCTGTGAGCACAACTATTGGGATTAAAGACTGAGGCACTGAATTATTAAATAAGGCGCGTAGGTTGGGAGGGATAAAGATATGATGTAAGCCGTTTTGGGGAGCCCCAGAGATAAAGTTTCAACTGTAGAGTTGTTCACTTGCTTTATTTCTTAATGTTTCCCTTTACAGAATACACATTTTCGAAAAACAGTGGAAGTACTTAACCACTTTCCCAGCATTTGACCTTGTATTGGATTTTGTGGTTCGATGTATTTATTTATTCCTGTATTTGGGAGTCTGGGATTAGAATTCTCAGTTGAGTAAGAGAATAGCTTTTACTACCCAGCATCTGTTTCCAGCATCTACTAGTCTTAAGAACCAGAAGAATTTATAGCTATTCTTTTTTTTTTTTTGGTCTTTTTTGAGATGGGGTCTCGCTATGCAGTTCAGGCTGGCCTTGAGCTCACTTTGTAGCCCAGGCTGGTCTGGAACTCGCAATGGTCCTCCCACCTCAGCCTGCCGAGTGTTGGGATTACAGGTGAGTGCTGGGATTACAGGTGTGAGCCACCGCGCCCGGCTATTCATTTTGACCTTTATCTTCACCAAGGTCAGGGTGATATGACAGGCAGACAGCTTTGATTTAAGAAAACAGTATTTCAGTGCAGGCCAGTCTGAGCATGAGGTTGTGAATTTCTCAGAGTGTCTGACCTAAGGAAATTGGCTCTGATGGTTAGCTTTTTCAGCCGCTGAAATAGGAGAATTAGTATCTCAAGATTGCACTGTCCACTCATGGGTTCAAAAACTATCCGGTGTTGTTGTAGCAAGCAGGGTTTTGTGTGCTGGGCACAAATGCCTAAGACTTATGAACACTGGCAGCGCGGACTTGGCGGTGTGCATTTCCGCCCAGTTTCCCAGCATTTACCTTTGGTAATGGCATGTGTCTAGAAGGAAAACAAAAGCTGCAGGCTTCTCTTCCCGGGACGCTTCCAATGCAGCAGAGGCAGGTATTGGCAGCCGTCGGCAAGTGCGCGCTTGATTGGAAAAGCAGCATGGAGAGAAGTACTGACAGGGGAGCCAGAGCCCAGCAGGACAACTCGGGTGGCCACCAGCAGCCAGCAGGCTCTGCCCACCCTCACTGCTCCTGATGGGTCCCCCTTGTGAGAAGAAAACAGGACACACTGCCAGCCAGCTGGGCGGAGGAAGGGCCTGCACCATGTGGCACACAGTGACTATGCCACTCTGCCAGCACCTGGACTATAACTGCACTGCTCTGCCAGTGGCACTCGCCAGAGCGGGTTAGCCAGGGGGGGTGGTCAGTAGGCCAGGCTGGCCCGAGCCCCATGGCATCTCACCCGCAGCCCATGCCCTGCTGGCTGCTCTGGCCACAGAGGAGACACTGTTGCTCGTACTCTCCCTGGACCCTTTAATCGGTACCCACTGGTGCCCGGGCTTTGCTGGCCAGAGTCGGTGAGCACCGCAACTGGAAACCAGAATGCGTGCCTGCTTCCAGGCAGAACGCTGTCAGAGCGCAGCCTCGGAGAGATGCCACTTGGTCTGCCACCGCTGGGAGCCAAAACCTGAAGCGGGGAGAGCCTTTGCCCAGGGCGGGCACCACGCTCTGTCAGAAGTCTTTGACTTTCACCAGTTGCCCTCCATGGGGAACCTCAGACCATGCCAAGTCTCCCGAGTGCCAGCAGGAGGGGAGCTCATTCTGGCAAGGAGGGCAGTGTGATGCTAAGTCCAGTGTCGGCTGCCAGTGCAAGGCTGGGCTTGGAGGCCAGGTCCACCCTTTCTACCTCGGGGGCCTTGGCCATTACTTAACCTCCCTAGACCTTGTTAGCTTAGTCCATAAGGGGGCCAGGGGAGGAATTCTCGGAACAATCATGTGTAAACCTATCTGGTACCTAATAGAGACCAACAGCTCCCAGCCCCTACCTCTGGACCCTAGAATTATGTCCATAAATAAACTTGGGGCTGTTTGCACATGCAGAGCCTTAGGTTCCATCCCCAGCACTGCCAAAAAACAAAAAATCTTTTTCCTCATTAAGACTTTAGCCTCAGGAGCCAGGATGCCTGGGTTTGGCTCTGTCTCTTCTGGATTTTTTTTATTTCCCTTGCACATGTTGCTTAGCTCTCTGTGCCTCAGTCTTCCCTGTGAAATAAGAGTATGAGGAGAACTTAACCCCCTGGGGCTGTCATGAGGATTCGTGGGTCACTGTAGGAGCAAAGCACCCCTGGCACAGCCTGAGCACATGGTCATGCTGCTGGTGGGCGTGACTGTGTGTTAGCTACAGCTCAGAATGAAGCGGTAATAGATACTGGTCATCTTCTTTATTAACTGATTTCTTCCCAAGGCCCAGAGGTGTTGGATAAAAACCTGCTGATTGTAGTAACTTGAAAACAACCTACAGCCGCCTGTTCTGAGGACCAAAAAGACCTGAGGTCCCACTCAGACCTGGTGCCTGCCCAGCTGTCCTCCCGTGGCTCTCAGGTGCCAGGGCCTCACTGAGGAGGGTGCTGAAACTCATCTTTCAGGTCCCCTGCATTTAAAAGGCTTTTCCCAGGGTCAGTCCCCTGCCTGTGGGTGCTGATGTCCTCCTTACCCAGCTGTCACACTAGGTCGACCTGAGCCATCACAGTGAACGCCCTGGCCCCTCACCCTGAGGGGCTGCTCTCTGCTCTGGGGTGTGGGCTGAGTTAGATCCATCAGTCCCCCTCTGTAGCAGCACCATGCCATGTTGGTGAGCCTGTACTGCAGGCTCTACTGCAGGGGGAGTGCGGGGAAGGGGGAGACAAAACCGTGCAGGCCTCCCCACGGGGTAAACTGAGGCAAACTCAGCACTGCCGTTCCCACTGCAGGCCGGCAAATGGATGAGGGCTCCCGGCCCATCATCTTCTCTTGTCTTCGGCAGCCCTGTGGCACTGATCCTGTGACCTGGTGGCCTGTCCGTTCCCTGCCTATGCTCCCACTGGTAGAGAGGGGGTTAAGGATTGTTGGCAGCTAATCCACCTTGGCCTGAGGCCTGCTGGAGCTGAGCTGGAGGAATGACTGGAATTCGAGGGGGAAGGGCTGCTCCTCCCTTTGGGCAGCCTGGAAGGGCACCTCTTGCTCTCTGTCCCCAGCTGGGGTCTCCCTGCACCTCAGCCTTGTCTCAAGCCCGGCAGCAGGCTGGAGCTACTAATGACCAGTGTGACGGGTTTTGTGTGGGTTCTCGCAGCTTTCTAACATTTTGGTTTTGGGTTTTTTTTGCCCCCCTCTCTGCCTGTCCCTCGTCCTGCTACCCAGGTCTGAGTGCATCAACAAGTTCGCTTCGGTCTTTGGGACGATGCCTCTCAAGGTGGTGGAGCACAGAGCAGACCCCGTGCTGTACAAGGACGACTTTCCTGAGAAGCTCAAGAGTTTCCCCAACATCGGCAGCTTGTGACACGCAGGGGTCCAGGCGGGCACTGGGCAGGAAGAGGCCAGGGCCCCCAGCACTCGTCATGAGATGGCGGTAGAAGGTTGACAGACCGGGTGCCCACTGGTACCCATCTGACCCCTCCTCCAGAAGGACGGGGAGCCCCCGAGGCACGCAGCAGCTCCGCTGTGGGCTCCCGAAGTCACCAAGCAGAAGGAAGCCACTGCGGCACCCTGTGGTCACCCTGTGCTCCCTCGTTTTATATCACTGAGTGGAGGAGCAGGTCCGATCTCTCTCTGCCTTAGGGCCGTGGCACTGGGTGCCCAGCAGTCGGTCCCTCAGCCACTCCTCTGGGGTGGCATTTTGATATGATTAAAATTATTTTTTATTCCTTTTTTCTGCTGTGCTTTAAACATTGATTTTTTGGGAGTCCAAGGAACCATCCTTCTCTGTGTATTTAACTGTACTTTCTGGCCTCGAGACAGTCTGGGCAGACACAGCCAGGAGGAGTATCTGCTCCCATGTGTGCCGAACAGAGGTCCCAAATCATAACCATCCCTTCTTGGAGCGGACGGCTGTGGACCGCCCAAGGGAATCCATGTGATTCCTGATCAGAGCCACTCACTATTTTATAGGGGTTCTGAGGAAAACAGGGACTTCAATAGCCATGCACCGAGCTGCCCTAGGTGGTACCATATTATCAAAGTTGAGGAGCTATGACCCCCCCTGGGGGGCAAAATTTCCCTCATTCTTTTGGTATAAATGTAACATTAGCCAGGGAGGCTCTGGCTAACGTTAAACGCCGCTATAACAACCACTTTGCAACAGTTGCCGGTATATTTAAATCATTAAATTTCAGCATTTAGTAATACTGCACATGTGTGAATTATACCTCTTTAAGCCCAGTTGATGAACAAATCTACTCTGGCAAATGTTAAATGTTATGGATCCGAAACAGATTTATCTGGCTCTAATATTAAGATTAGCCACAGTTTGGGCTTTAGCCATAACATATGTCCCAGAAACACAAAATACGTAACAATTTGCTTAGAATATGGATATAATTAGGGAAACCCAGTTGTGTGCCAGTTGAAGTCACTCTCGCACTGCCATTGTTCTGTCGAGCAGCATGGAGGGGCAGGGGACCCACGCCATGGTCAACAGGAGTCACTGCACCCGTGACCCACAGTGCAGGAGCCCGAGAAGAGTCAGGGACATAGCAGCATTGAACGCACACCTCATGGTGGTTTCATCTCATTTTCTGTCACGGAGCCGTGGACTCCCAGGCAGCAGCTGCTGGAAGGGACGGCAGCATCTCCTGGGTCGTCCGTCCACGCTGCAGATTCAGATGCAGAGGGTGATCAGCACTGGCCTCAGAGAACACCCACTTGTCAGCCTGCCATGGGGGAAGACGCTTGGGTCTCATTTCCACAGCAAGGGGCACGATCAGATAGAAAGCCAGAGGAAGGGATTTCTGTCATCACCCAGGTCCCACAGCTATAGTCAGTGAGTGCCTCTAACTTTCTAGGGGGTCGCCAACATGTATCCAAGATGTGGGGCACACATGGGGGGTGGAGTAGGCTTCCCATGAAATCCCACAGAAACCAGGCACTGGACCAACAGTAAGTCTGGGTCCATGTGACATTGCTGTCAGCCTGGTCTCGTCCAGTATGGCCTTCCTAGGACTCCCTGGATGTTCAGGGCGTTGAATCTTTATTTACAGGACCTCACTACTTCCAGAAATAAGAGTTAGACCTTGCAACACCACACCAAGTAATGCATACGGTAGACGCATTACACCCCGGGCACTCGGGCTCAGAGATTCTGTCTTTGAAGGAGGAACAGGCAGTACAGTCACTATTGAGATGCAGGACTGGCTCACTGCAAATGATCTGGATTCGGGGATCCTGAGGACAAGGCAGTGTGTCCCCTTGTGAGCAGCTTTGGTCTCCCCCACACCCACGCCCACGAGCTGGGTCAGGACCATCTGTCCCCAGGGATACCACAGAGCCTGGCTGCAGAAGCAGAACAATGCCACTAATTAAAATGTCATGTCCAGGCCTACAGCAGACAGCAGCTGGTTCTAGATTAAGAAATCTTTTTAAAGAAATTGTGTCCTACTGGCCCTGGCCCAAGTGTGTACAGCAAGCCACTGTCTTCTCCCTGGGGACCTTTCTGGGATGGGCCCATCTACACTGTCATGGTTGGAAATACAGTTTTTGTTTTTTGTCTTTTGGTTTTTTTTTGAGGTGGGTCTGAATAACATTAAATGGTTATTATTCTTCATTGTAGCTAATCATTGGAGACAACATAAATGTCTATCAACGTAAGTGTGAGTAAAGAGAATGTGGTATAAACATTAGATGGTTTAATATTCTTATCTAATGGATTTTACCACGTCTCAAACATGTTTAGACCCAAACCACCTCATCTGGGAAAATCAGAGAGGGAGATAGCATTTTGTTCTCACACGCTTGGTTCTTTCCCTCCAGGAATGCTCTCTTTACATCACCAGGTTCAAAAATCTGACCATTCCAGCTCCTCTGCCAAAGCCTCATCTACTTGTACTGGGCTTTGAACTCTCTGGGTTTAGGGGCCGGGTTGTCTGCTGCCCTCTGGATGAAGTGGCCTCCCTCGGTCTACGTGGGCAGTGCTGGGAGCTAAAGCGGCTGAAGGAGTTGCCAGTGACCCTACAACCCCAGTGTCACTGTCGTGCACCGAGCAGCAGTGAAGCAAGAGACCCTCTGCGCTGGTTGCACGTTCTCACAGGTGACTCGGGGTCAACATGCACGAACCCTTGCTGGCTCCAGCCTAGGAGAATCAGGGCGGAGATGCAGCAGAGACCAGGTTGGGTTCTGGTAGGGCTCTTCCTGACAGCAGTCTGGGGACTGGGGGTCTCCATCGGCTCATGCCCTGAGACTTTGCTTCAAGGACAGTGGCATTTTTGCCTGTCTCTTTTCTCCTGCTCAGTACAAGAGAAGCCACAGCATCTGCTCCCCGAGAGGCCCAGGCTGAGGCTGAGAATGGAGAGTTGGCCTCCGACCTCTTCCGGCCCCGTCCCAAGAGGGGCTCTGGCAGGCGTGCTGAGCAGCTGGCAGGCGAGTCCCTCCAGGAGGACTTGGGGAGCGATGAGCTTTCCACGGCAGCGCCTGGAGGCACAGGAGACCTCTGGGGCTGTGCCTATCCAGCTCTGTCCAAGCCCTGGGACGCCCATTTTCTACTAGGGATAGCATTTGGCCCCGTTGTATAAACCATGTATGGTCCAAGTCTCTGGAACTGGGTTAGCCACACTGTTCTTCTGCAGGGCAAAGACTGGACCTGTTCCCAGTTTCAAGACTGTCTCCTCTCCCTGCTTATGATGGGAGCTATGAGTCTCCTTGAAGACTGGGGGACCTTCGCCCTCCACCACCTCCAAGGATGGATGCCCAGGCACCCTGTGCTTTGGTTGTGAGGCTCCAGGTCCTAAGGAGGGCACGTGGGTCCTACGGGCAGCATAGCATGCAGTGTCTTAATTTCCAGCTCGCCATGGTTAGCAGCAGCAGAAATACAGTGGAGGTGAATTTGGTCCTCTGCCCCTCTTGAGACACAGTTGAGTCACCTGCATGGGAGCAGCTTTGTCCTTTCTTCTGCTGTGGACCACTTGGCCCCCTAGTCACAGCTCTGTGCACTCCACCAAAGGTGCCACCATGAAGCGCCATCTTGTCTACCTCCTCGAGGTTCTGCCCACAGAGCCCTGCAGCGTAGACCAGAGCCACCAGGCAGTCCTCGCATCATGCCAAGCCTTCCCTTTGCAGCGCATCTACTCAGGCTTGTGTTTACGGCTGCAGATTTAAATCATCAGCTCCTGCACCCGAGGATAAACTCAAGGAGTCTGTGCTGTCTGTCGAGCACAGCTGGAAAACACTCTTGCCATCCACGAGCAGTCGGAAAGCATCTCATCCACATGTGCTGTCTGCCAGGCCCAGGCAGCACGCTGGCCATGGACACGTGCTGCCAATGGAGACCCAGCTTGGGTCTCGGAACTTGGGTCCTCCTGAAGGATGGACTTGTCCTGAGGCTGAGTGAGGACTGCACAACCCCCTCCCCCAGCAGATGAAGGATGCGGGGAGGGTCTCTATCTGCTTTTCCCTGTCATGCCTTCCCTGAGCAGTGAGCTGGACCTGCAGGGAGCCCGTTGCTGTGCCTTACTTTCTTTCATCAGCCAGAAACTGGAGACAGCAAGAGCACCAGACTCGGCTGGAAGGAAGGAACGACATCTCAGATCTCCTCCTCTCTCTCTGCCAGGCCCCTAACGAGACTGTACCTGGCGACGCTGGCAGCCAGCCCTCCTCTGGCCCCTATTTCTGCTTACCCTGTTAGCAGAGAGCCCGGGGTCTGGATCCTGTCGCCCCGTCAGGCTGGATTACCAAACGAGCAGTTCTTTTGCCCCAGTCCCTTCCCTATGCTATAAATAAGCCCTGTGTTTATTTTCTTATGTTATTGAAATGAGCACTTGTGATTGGGGCTTCCTTGGCCAAGTCCAGAGAGCGTCCATCCGGTGCCTGCTGAGGGCCCCGCGTGGCAGGCTGCTGTCTGGAGCTATTTGGAATCCTCGCCCTACGTTTTGGATGTGGCTTAATTTCAATAGAGGGGGCCATATGCAGCCCTGTATCTGCTGATTTTCAGGTTTCAGCTTTCTGCCAGGCTCGCTGCCTGCTTAGAAGTAAAGTTGTGTTTCTCATTACGGGGATAACAGCCACAATTGAGGTAATTAACGAAAATTGTGTCTTGGTGGCCGCAGCTCCTATAGGGTTTCCAATAGTCTTTCTCCAGTGGATCCTGAGAAGCTCACCTTCCTGTCCTCCCTTCTGCCTCTCCTGGGCCAAGTACCCGTCCTTGTCTTCTGGATGCAAGCCCAGTAATTCTGCTCCTCACAGTCTTGTTCTTGTCACATTGGGTCCCGCATCTTGACAACATGGCAGAGTAAGGATTTCGTTAACTCTATCTTCTCCAGGGTATACAGGAGGTGAGAACTTTTCCCTCTCTGCCTTTTCGGATTGCCAGGTATATCCTGGTGCTTCTTGGGTGGTTCTGAGGCTGAATATCCATTAATAACTGTGCGCTCTCTTGGTTTCGTGTGATCTTCACTGTCTTAGTAGAGACAGACCGTGTTGGCATAGAAAGCTGCTTCCCTTCTACCTGGCAGCTCCATGGAAGTCTGGGAACTAGGAAATGTCCCAAGAGGAGACTCCTCTCCAAGTGATGTCTGGCTTCTTCAGGCTTCACAGCACACCCAGACCACGGATCATGATCCACGTCTCATGACAGATGAGCCTGGGAAATCACTGAGGAGAGAAACCTTCTTGGACACAACCTGAACCCAAAGTCTATTAAGGAAGAAAATTGCATGGAACAA